TGAATTTATACTATTTAAATAACTACTTGCTTAAATAAGTAGAAACATAAAACATTTTCGCGGAATGGAATTGGTTCTTTTGAACGGGTCATCAGCATTATTGGAACGTCCAAACGTATAAAAGTTGGAAATTCGTCCAAAAGCAAGTATAAAATAATTGCAAAGATGAAAACGTCTTACTTTTCATTTAAAATTAAAATTTTAAATTAGTTAAAAACTGTGTTTGCGGTTCTTACCAATGTTATCTAAGACACAAAATAAAGCTAAATTCCTCAATTGTTCAGAAGAGCAGAAAATGCCTTTCATTGCTGATCATGTCGATAAAGCCTCTTTGAGAGACCATAAATGACAACATATCCGGAGAGGAATAGGAAGAGAACAGTAGAAAGACGTAAAAAGGGAAGGAAGGTCGTAGTTTAAATAGCTGATTTTAGCTCGTTTAAGCTTTGTAAATACCAACTTGAACCAACCAAATGCCATGAACAAGTGATGATGGTAGCTGTCTTCTGTGTTTAAACAAATTGGCGTTCAATCTGCAAATATGTAAGAGAAATTAGATCTGTCAATTAAATCTCAACTTGCACTTTGAGCCCTGTAGATAACATAATTAATTAAGAAAGAACTCTTCGTAATTTAAATCCCTCGTCATTTTGTGATTGGAATATGCAAATTTTTACTTATATATATATATATATAGGGTGTGCGATAGACTTACCCCTACGTGGTGCACCTTGGGCAACGTATACTCATGCGGCAAAAGAGGCTATTAACTGGCAGTTGACTTCTCACTTCAAGCTACCACGACTCCCCTGGTTGTCATTTTCGACCCCTTTCACAGTACTCACTTTACCTTTTTCTTTACCTTCGTGTCTGTCTGCCTCTTTTACATCTGTGAATCGCTCTTCTGTTCCCCACCCCTTGGCTTTCTTCCACTTTGACGAACCTTCCCTCTGTGAAGCCCGAAGTCAGTTAAATGGCTAATGATGTCTATCAAAACGCCTGCCATTTGAAATAAATAATATAAATAAATATATATTAAATATGGATGTGCGTAGACTTACCTCCACGTGGTGCACCCTGGGCAACGTATACTCATACGGCAAAAAAGTCTATCAATGGGCAGTTGACTTCAAACTACCATGACCCCACTGTATGTCATATTCGACTATTTTCACGGTACTCACCTCACCTTTGTCCTAACTTTGTGTCTGTCTCTTACATCTTTGAAACACTCTTCTGTTCCCCCCCCCCCTCTCGAATTTTTTTCAATTTGATGTTCCTTCCCCTCTGTGAAGCCTGAAGTCAACTAAAGGGCTAATGATAAATATCATAAAGCCTGCCATTTGATATAAATAAATTTGCTATATCTTCCTAATTAAGAGAATTGAAATGGCAATACTATTCGCCACTTTCTGCGAATATTCAGCGGTGATTACAGGAATAAGGTCATTGCAGAGATGGCTCTCCCACCTGGAAAGACAGCCAACTAGACCCTAGTTTCAAACAAACAATAAAATCACAAAATTTCTTTCAATTTTCAGGCGATTAAGTTCATTGATGCAGCTTATGATAATCCCATTAAATTTCAGGCTTTGCCAGGATCTTTTATCATCTAGAAGCCCTCATTCTCATTGAAACTGAAAGGCGGGATTTTCAGAAGAGATCAATTGAATCAGGTTTTGGCATGCAATGAATATACTCAAAAGATTGGTTTAAAAATAGGCTTTGAGAGAGCATTAAGCTTGCTGTTATTTGACACACCTAACATTAAAGTGAAAAGGTCGTGAAAGAGAAATGGCTCCATAGATTGATCCAACAGCAAACGAGGCGTTTTAAAAGGAATTAGAACCACCCAGCATGCATATGAGAACTTAGCAAGGAAGTGCTTGGTGCCACCTATTTCGAAGGCTCGAATCAAAACTTACATTGGATGAGCTTCCTCAACCTAATAACGTCTCTCCAGTTGTAGTAGAGAATACAAGTCGCTGGAAGACCATCACGACCTGCACGACCAGCCTCTTGATAGTACCCCTCAATAGACTTTGGAATGGAGTAGTGAATGACGTAACGGACATCTGGCTTATCAATTCCCATGCCAAAGGCGATGGTTGCACAGACGATCTGAAAAAAAAGAACACTACAAAATGGAGGCCAATGAGGCTGCACGTGTTACATTGTATTTCCAGGTCTCGTTCTCTCCACTTTCGAATAGAAGGCGACAAGTGTCAAAATGCTAGACGTACCTTGAAATTATCCTCCTGGATCCAAGACTCTTGGACCTTTTTACGGGTAACATCAGTCATACCGGCGTGATAAGCTCGAGCAGGAAGACCGGCTGCAGTGAGCTCATCGGCCAATGTGTCGCATTCATTGCGCGAGAGGCAATAGACAATACCTGAGAGATTACGGAACTGCGACTTAATCAAATCGATAATCTCCTTGGTACAGTTCTTCAGCCTCTTCTGGCGTACTTCGAACTTGAGATTGGCGCGATTGAAACTCTGAATGAACCTTTTAGGGTATATGAATAGTTGTTAAATCAAAACCTAAATTGAAGGCATGCTCTAACCGATATCGGTAAAGATATACTTATTCATCAAAGAATGATCGAATGCGTTCAATCCTACCAGTGTAAAATAATGTTACTGGCTTCACTGATCTAGAGGATGGCATATATATATCGAGATAAGGGCATATTGTCCCAGATCTTATGCATGAACTCTTATTTGCGTTAATGTTATATGGGCTTGGAGATACAGAAATTGATTAAGCAACCAAAAATGTTAACAGCAAGACTAATAAAGCAGGAAACTATAATTTGTTTAAATTATGGGGCACCAGCGTTGTAATGAGTTCGGTCCCCAATAGTAAGCGGAATAGCCAATCCTATTGGCTAATTATGGCTAATAGAGGTGGCAAAATTCAAATTTACCAATAGGGGCGACCTAAGATGAAGCAACTCCTCTGTCCACGATGTGTGTTGAAAACTATTTTCCCAATAGGCCTGGGAATTAGTATTTATTTAAAAACAAATAGATCAACTAACTTTAAGAACATTACTGCAGTAAACAAGGGAACTTGATTAACTTTGAA